TCTGCCACCATCAGGCTTCAAGGGCTCCTTAGAAACAGTCTGTGGGTGCCTCCAGCTGAGTTCCAGCCTATCTCCCAGCCCCCACAGCAATGATGTCCATAGACACCCAGGCCTTTTCCAGCAGCCCTCCCAGGGCCCATCCCAGATTAGGGCCACTTACCCGGTTATACACATGCCTCTTGCTCTGGGCCATGCTGCTCACCAGGCCTCTACTCCCTCCCCCAGCTGGCCAAAGACAGAGAAAAAAAGCAGAAACCTAGGCAGGAGGGTCAGGGCGCTGGGCCCTCATGGACCGACACAGGAACCGTCAAGCACAGCCCTCCCCAGTCCATGGGCCTCACTCAGCTGCCTACCACCTACTGGGGTAGGGGTGGGGGCAGTGATGGGGGCTGAGGAACAAGTCCCCTCTGCTGCCTGAGGATTCCTGAACCCAGAGATACCGAATCCTGCTTGCCAGCTGATGAGTCTCACTCTGCGCTAGTGCTGCTCTAGACTTGTCAGGAACAGTGCAAGCCTCTGGGTCCTAGTGCTCCCCTGCTTCACCTAGGCCAGACAAGAGGGGCAAGGAACCAAAGACAGGCTCACCCACAGACTCTCAGCATTCACCTCTAGAATATACTGTCTTAGAATTGGAAGCAGTCTTGACAATTCCTCCTAGCCTGTATCCCCTTCACTATCACTTTCCCTCCTGCCCCTGGGCTATGAGACCTCAGCAGGCTCACAAGCATCAAGTAACATTTTAAAATAGTCAGCTACCTAAAGCCTCCACACAGACAAAATAAGAGTCTCTCATCTAATCTATGGCTCCCCTGGCTGCAATATGGACCTAGATACCCTGGGCTTAGGGATACTTATCTTCCTTCACTGGCAGAACAGTAACTTCCCCTACGCCACTCTCAAAGATAGACCAGATAGCTCAACAACAGAATGATAGCTAAGAGAAAGAAACAGGTCCCTCAAACACCTCTCCATATCTTCAATCCTGACCAGACCCCTAGGAAACCATCTCTCTCCTTCCTTGAAAAATCTCCATGTTACCACCTTCCTTCAGTCACTATTACACAGGTGGGGAAAGCCAGGCAGGCCCCAACAGCATGGACCACACATGTTTACAGTACTTATGTCTACAGAGCACCTTCAAACATTTTATAGATACATGGTTAAGTATACTGTTTTTGGACTCAGGTTGCTTTCCTGGTTATATCATAAGCTTGGTGTAGTTACTTTAATTTTTTTTAATAGTACTGGGGATTGAACCCAGGAGCACTCTACCACTGAGTTACATCCACAGCCCCTTTCTTTTTATTTCGAGACAGTTACCCAGGCTGGCCTCCAGAATTGTCCTGCCTCGAGCTCCAAAGTTACTGGGATTACAGGTATGCACCATACCAAGTTTGGTCTAGTTATTTAGCATCTTTGTGCCTCGATTTCTGCATCTGTCAAGTGGAAACAATCAAAGAATATATTTCAGAGAGGTATTGTGAGGATTAGCTGAGAAAATCCACATAAAATTTTTAGGGGGCTGGGGATGTGGCTCAAGTGGTAGCGCGCTAGCCTGGCATGCGTGCGGCCCGGGTTCAATCCTCAGCACCACATACAAACAAAGATGTTGTGTCCGCCGATAACTAAAAAAATAAATATTAAAATTAAAAAAAAAAAAAAAAAAATTTTTAGGACAGTGGCTGGTATTTAATAAGTGATCAATAAAAGTTAGTTAAGGGCTGGGGGCAGTGGCGCACACCTGAAATCCCAGCAGCTCGGAAAGCTGAGGCAGGAGGATCACCAGTTCAAAACCAGCCTCAGCAAAACTGAGATGCTAAGCAACTTAGTGAGACCCTATCTCTAAATAAAATACAAAATAGGGTTGAGATGTGGTTCAGTGGTTCAGTGCCCCCCAGTTCAATCCCTGGTACCCCCCCAAAAAAATAATAATAAAGTTAGTTAAGAACATTATCATCATCATAGTTGGACATGGCAATGACCCCACAGATAGGTAGACCAGGGATGATACTGATAAGGAAACAGATTTAGAAAATTAAGCAAATTCCCTGAAGTTAAACAGAAGATCAGGAGTGGAACCAAAATCTGACCCAGAGCCCTCTGTGCTTTCTACTGCCTTTCACTGTTCCCATATACATATCTAGGCTTCCAAGGCCATGTACATTCTTCAGACCATGCTGCCTTCAAAAAGTTGGAAGCAGGGGCTGGAGTTGTAGTTCAGTGGTAGAGTGCTTGCCTAGCATGTGTGAGGCACTGGGTTCAATTCTCAGCATCACATATAAATAAATAAAGGTCCACTGACAACTAAATAAAAAATATATATTTTTTTTAAAGTTGGAAGCACCCAGATCTAAGAACAGCCTCATAACACATCTATATATAGTCACTAACTTATTGGGAGCTTTTATTCTATTATAAAATGGAAATATCTGCCATACCTACATTAGTGTTATATGGATTGAAATTAAGTGCCATGGGTTGGGGTTGTGGCTTAGAGATGGAGCACTCGTCTAGCATGTGTGAGGCATTGGGTTCGGTTCTTAGCACCACATAAAGTAAAATAAAGACACTGTGTCCACCTATAAGTAAAAAATAAATATTAAAAAAAAAAGATTAAGTGCACAAAAGTATTTTGTAAAAAGTACCAAAACTGTAGTAGTATGAAGAATTATTACCTGGCAGGATACTAGATGGTATATAAACCTTAAAATTAAATGCACAAATAATAAATATTATAAGAAACTGCAGATAAAAGTGAACTAGAAAGAAAAGAGGTACATATGAGATTTGGGGAGTACTTTGTGTGTGTGTGTGTGTGTGTGTGGAAAAGGGGCTGGCTATGTGGAAAGGAAAGGCCTACAAAGCACTGTAAGCTGTGAACAAAGCATGAGTAGAGACTGAAATAATTCTGCTTGAAATATTAAAAGAAGACTAGCTTAGCTGAAGTGAAGAATTCTAGATGAGTCTATCAAACAATTAGCCTTCTGAAGCAGAGCCTACAACTTCTTTTTTTTATGATACGATGATCCTTAGCTCCTACAGTCAAATATTTATTGAATACATAAATACAGAGATGTACCAGGAGGTAAGTATAGATAGGCAGGGAGTTTAACATCAGGCAGAGATAGATGGATTGGATCCAATAACAACAGGAAGCTGGTCTTACTCCTGAGCAGTAGAGTGGCATAGTGAAACTATTTAAGGAAAAATCAAACCGATGGCTTATGCAGGATATAGTGGAGACAGAAGCAACTTGGCAAAGAGAGGATTACAGTAAGGAGGCTGTTGCAATAATGAACCTTGTTGGTGGGATCTGAATAAATATTATAAGAGAGAAGAAGGGGCCAATTGAAATATAGTACCAAAGGCTCTGTGATGGATCAGACACAAGGAAAGAGACAACAGGCCTGAGCTCTGGAGACAGACCTGGATACAGCTTTGATTCCCGTATTTCCTCACCTGGGCAAGCTATTTAATTTTCTGAGTCCCAGTTATCTGACTTGCAAAAAGGAGGAAATAATGCTACCTCATAGCAATGTTGTATGGAATAAGACTTAATTAAAGAATTTAGCACAAAATATGTGCTCAATAAATTGTAGATATTATCTTCATTATTGCAACTGTATGTGTTGCAATAATGATGACTTACACATGATAGAAACTCAGATGTTGCAAGGAAAAAATGGATAGATGGATGAATGTAAAAACTAGTAAATGAATAAAGAAATTGGGAGTTTTCAAGCTTGAGTAAAAACATAGCAATTAAGACCACAATATTAACAGAACTGGGGAAATGGGAAAGGAAACTGAGCATATTAGATGAGAGAAAATAAGTCTTGTTCTCAGGCTTTCTCTAGGCAAATTTAAATATGTACACTAACATATTTCACTACCTCCTTCAAATATGAACTGTGAGATTGCTAGTAGTTACAGACTAAGGTTAGTAGAATGCAGGGTAGGGTGAGATTATAAAAAGATAGCCTGAGGGACCCTTGTAGTGGTGACACTTCAGAATTTGGTGTTAATGTCAATGGCCTGGCTGTGATGCTGTACTACAGTTTTGAAAGATGTTAACCATCAGGAGAAACTAACAAGGGTATGTGCAATCTCTCTGTAGTTTCTTACAACTACATGTCAATGTATTCATTATCTCAAAACAATCAAACCAAAAGCCCAAACAGACTCCATTATCTCCACTCTATAGGTGATAGAACTGAAGCTCTGAAGTGAACAACTTGCCCATTTCTAACTGGCCTGAATAATTTCTACCTTGCTTTTACTGGCACCCCAGCATCCCTTGTTACCTTGATCTACTCTTGTCTCACTTGATCCTGGACTAATTCACTATCTACTTTCTTTGATCCCAATCCTGGAGGAGCTGGCTTGAAACCCAGGCAGTCTGATAGCAGGGCAAAACTGTATACATCTAAAAGCACTAGTAACAAAAAAATAAGTGTGGATGTTAGCCCCTCGGAAGTCAGGATGGGAAAGGGTCTGCTTACTATGAGGAGAATAGAGGGTGGGGGACTAAAATTGGATTCTAGAAACCCACAAGAACCCAGGACAATAAGCTTTCAGAGCCTTTTGTTACTCAGTCCCACTCCTTTATCTACCTTATAGATCTCATACAATAGAGGACTTTCCTAAATGGACTTCCCTGCCTTTTCAGTTCTTTATTATCCCCGGAAATTCCTGAAGCCCACTCCTAATCTGAATGTAGCTATCCCATTCCCAAAGTATTCCTTTCCCTGAGAAAGGTCCAAGGATTTTCAGGCTTACCTCCAAGAGTCAGGAAGGGAAGCTACACAGTACACCTCATTAAATTTCAATATAGAAGCTCTGCAGAAAAGCAAGAGATTTTCAGCCCTATGCTCAAAGACAGTAACCCCCCCCCCCCCCCAGTGAGAGCAGAACTTAGCCAGTTTTGAAGCTCCTGATGGTTCCTCCCCCTGAATCAAGTAGCAGGTTCCTGGCACTAGGACCCTGCAGACAGGGAACCCTGAGCCTGCGCTCTAAAGAGAGAGATGCACCATTTCACAACTTCAGCAAAAGCCAAAGCAGCCAACAAAGCCACAGCCACCTCAGCTGTGCTGGGCTCTACTGGATGTGCTGGGCTCTACTGTTTGAGCAGCTCATCGGCCACTCCCCAGAAGCAGATCACTCGGTCTTTCCCTTTTTAAACCCACGTCATCATCTGATCGTAATAGAAATCAATCTCAAATCACCATGCAAAGGCGTATCCATGGCAACCTCCAGAGGAAGGACACAGAGATGATGCTCCAGTGGCTGCAGCAGAAAAAGGTAAGTCCATTTCTCTTCTATCCATGCTAGTCCACCATTCTCCCCTTTCACTCAAGTCAGGTGTGTATATTACTTGCAAATCCTATCTATCACACTAACTAGGAAAACACATAAGGTGAGTTAATAATCATTATGTTATTATATAATGTTATAGGTCTGCCTAGTTCCATAAGTGAATGGTAGGAAAAAAATCTTTTTCTGGGTGATAGGATGGGAATAAGTTCTCTCTTCTTATTTACTGTCTCAGGTGTCAGTATCAGCCTGCAATACTTGACAAATCACTGTCAGTCACTTGTCTTTCTAATCAGAATGCTGCTGAAATAACTCGGGGATTTCAGAGTTCCCCTACATACTTACAAAAAGCTGGCAGCAACACTGACCCCAATGCCCTGCCCATTCATGCCTCTATCATGCTCAGAGACTGGCTCTTAGCAGCCTCAAGGTCCAGAAAATCAGGAATTGGAATTAAATTTCTGCCTTGGATGCCTCAAAGAAGAAATTTCATTTCTGCAGAGAAAGGTCTGCAGAAGTACTGCCAAGTCTAAGTAATCTTCCATGCCTCAATTTCCCTTTCTGTAATATAGGGTTATAACAAATAATACCTTTTTCTAGGGTATCATTGTAAAAAGCAAATGAGAGTGCCTGAGAAGCACTTAAAAAAGTGCCTGATATATAATACACTCAATATATGATAGCCTTTATTATGAGGAAAGAGGAGGAGAGGCCTATAAATGTGGAATTTCAGTCCAAAGGGTATTCTGCACTATTGGAGCTTATCTCAATTCTATTTTCTTTCTCTTTCCTCTGAACAATTCTTTCAAGCTACTTCTTCCACTTTCAAGTCCCTATTCCTGATGGATCTCATACAAGTGTCCTTATCCCTTAGCAAATAAACTTGTTGAGAAAGAAAACTGAGCCTACTAGGTAAGAATTCCTTTGCAAATTAGATATATCTGCATTCATCATTGCCTCTTTCAATGTAAATTCTATCTTTTCTTCCATCATTTCTCTTCAATGGAAATCATGTACCTCTCTTTTCCAGGCAACCCCTCCACTCTAAGGACCTGATTTAACAATCATCTCCTCTAGTGCCTTCAGTAACATTCCTTCTACTAGCTCTAACACATCATCAGAAGACCATGTTCTTCTAGTTTAGGCAATACTATTCTAGGAAAAACTGAATCTAATCCTTGTCACCTCCTGTGCAAGCCACCACCATCTCTATTCTTCCCTTCCCTGCCTGAAGGACTACTGAAAGTGAGTATGTATGTACTCCCTATTCTCAGTTCTCATCTACACCACAATCCACTGCAATCTGGCTCCAACCCTACCACTCTACTGATGTTGTTCACACTTAAAAGAGTTCTAGTGGCTACAATCTCCTAACTACTTAAACTCAAAGTTAATTTCCTAAGCACATCCTCCTTGACCTCTCTGAAGCAGCCAAAACTGCTAATCACTTCTCTGGAATTTTCTCCTTTCCTAGCTTCCTGGGCAATATTCTTTCTTACCTTGAACACCAATCCCTCTCATCTTTGTCCTTTCCATCCTTCCATAAATGTGGCTGGGAGAGTTCACCCATCCCCACAACTTCAACTTCCACCTACACCCACCACCACTCCGAGGCAGAAATTCTCTGATGAACCTCAGACCCATATCACTACCTGTCAGCTAAATACCAAACACCATTCAAGTTCAACATGACCCAAAACAGGCTTGATATCTTCCACCTCAAAGAAGGTTCCTCTTCTATATTCCCTCTTCGCTACTGGCACCACTATCCACCAAATATAGAAAACTGTGTCATCCTCAACAACTCTTTCTTGTTCTCAACAACCAATTAGTCATTCATTACTCAGTTAACTCAGTTAATTCTGTCTCTGCTGTTTCCCTCAGATTTGTCCCCTTTCTCTCCAGTTCCACTGACTTAATCCTGAGTTTAGTCCTATATCACATCCATGTTATTACAAGAGCCTCCCAATATCCCTGATCCTGATTTCCACCCTTCATTCGATTTCCACAGATGGCTTCCCAAAATGCAAACATGTCACTCCCTGTCTAAAAACCTTCAGTGGCTTCCCTGCCCACAAAATTGAATCTTTTTAGCACAGCACTATAGACTAATAAAAATCTGGCTTCATCATGAATCCAGTCAAACCAATCACCTCTCCTTTGATCCCCAAATGCTCTTAAGTTCCAGTCACTTGAATCTACTTAACTTTTCCCTTACACCTCTGCAAAATTAAAAATATTACCAGAACCATTCTCCCTCCTTATCCTTCAAGACTCAACTTGGTAATCATCTCATTCCTGAAGACTCTCCTACCTTCTCCATGTAGTTAGTCATTTCCTCCTCTGCCCTCACAACAGCACCTTGGATATACCAAATTTTATTTAAAATATTATGTGCTTTATCCTATTATGAATTCCTCCAAGACACAGAATTTTACCCATCCCAGGATCTAAGCACTGAACACAGTGCTTTGCACAGAGAAGGCACTCACTGTAGAATAGAAGCTCATACCAACACCAGGCTCTAGATAAATAAATTGGCTCTAGTTTTCCCAGAGAGTAACACTACCCTAAAAGACAACCATGGAGGGAAGGGGAGATATCTGTGTCTCTGTCTCTAACACACACATATACACACACCATCACCACCACCACAGTAGGTACAGCTCTTTCCTCTCTAGATAGGAGCCTAATAAGCTAAAACTGCACTGATAGCCCCAGGTCCTATGGAATTTGATCATGACACTAACTCAATCTTGTATGCTTCCAGGGTAAAAGAACCATAAAGAGGGATCTAGATGATGTACAGATTCTGGGAAATTAGGCACTAAGGGCAGCAAGGGCTCTTGCTCTTCTGCAGTGAAGCCCCTAGAAGATATAAAGGAGCTTGGGGAGGTCACACTGTACACCTAAACTGTCCATCATCCAAGCTCAACCAGTACCAGCCTAAACTTTCAAAGGAAAATGATATTAAGTCAGAATTTCTAAGAATCTCTAAGATGGCAAAGACGTGAAGATACATTTGAATCAGGTAATCTCTCAGTCTTACCTCTTCAGGGACAATGAGGACCCAGTTTCCATTTTCATTCATATGGGACAAATATCCCAAGTTACCCCCAGAAACACCTAGTAACTACAGATAGGTAGCAAGCAACCTGGAATTATCTACTATAATCTCACCCAACTTGTAACTCCAGAAAGCCACTAGCAATGACAGAGCTGGCAGAGCAAAACCTCAAGTGGCAGCCATCAATGTTATTATGATTCTCCCAACTATTTTGACTCCTCCCTAGAAACTTCTTTGTACCCTACATCCAGTCAAGCCTAACTTATCAATTCTTCCTTAGTATTACCTCCTGCATCCTTCCTTTCTCCTTCATTATTACTGTGATAACTTTGGTCTGCTATTTAGTAGTTTTGAAAATTAAGGCAAATAATTTATTTTTTTTGGTGCCTCATCTGTTGCTCTGCCTAATTCAAAGGATTCTTCAATCAAATGAGATCTTGCCCATGAAAAATTCTGTAATCTGTTATACATAAAAAAGCATCATTGTAATCATCAATCTAAGTCCCCTATTATTGATAATGTGAAGCCTGACTCCTCTTCTTTCCTTTCTCATTTCCAACTACTTTATATACAACAGTAAGACAAATATATCCTCTAAAAGACTGCTCTGTCCACATATTCATCTTCTCAACATCTTTCACTGCCATCCCATTTCTTTCCCATTAATCAAACAATCCTGAATTTGATGTATGCAGTCTCATCTCTGCACCACTGTCAGTTTAGAATGATTCCTCTGGTCTTGCAAGCCACACCCATCCTTCAAAGTCAGGCTAAAGCCCCAATACATGCAGAATAAGGAGAAATTTACAAAAGAAAGTTCTTAAACATGATGGAAAAAATAAAGACAGTTCATTTTGAATTAAAAAAAAAAAGGTAGAAATTGCTGGGCACAGTGCGCCACCTGTAATTGCAGCAGCTCAGGAGGCTGAGGCAGGAGGATCGTGAGTTCAAAGCCAGCCTCAGCAAAAGCAAGACACTAAGCAATTCAGTGAGACCCTGTCTCTAAATAAAATACAAAATAAGGCTAGGGATATGGCTCAGTGGCCAAGTGCCCCTGAATTCAATCCCCTGTAACTCCTCCCCAAGAAAAAGAGATAGAAATAGCTGTCACTGTTATTTTTTGAGTCAGCTTTTTAGAGGGATTACTTTTTTATTATTATTATTCTAAGAGATAACCTAAAATCAATAGGATGGAAGTTGCAGAGATGTGTTTTAGTAACCTGAAGAAAAATTTTATTGTGCTATCCCAATAATAAAATCGGAAGCTTTCTATCTAGTTAATTCCTATTAGAAATGTTTAAACCAAATTACAAAATTTGGTAAACTGACAATACTTTATACGGAATTCGCTATCACAAGTAGAACTGGAGTAACAGCATGTTAGATCTGAAAGGAGCCTTAGCGATCTCCGGGTTCAGACTCCTATTTTAAGGCCTGGACCGATGAAGTGACTCACCCAAGGCAGCAGTTTGTTCTTAAGGAAAGGAAGCAGAAAATGATCTCTAACTTTTAATCCAGTAATTCACACCCTTGCTTCTCAGAGTGTGGTCCACAAAATAGTAGCATTAGCATTACCTGGAAACTTTTTAGAAATGCAGAACCCATAGGAATCTGTATTTTAACAAGACCCCATTAAATGGCTGCATCATAAAAGTTAGAAAAGCACTGGCCTGCACTGCCCCTTCCAGTGAATTTCTAATTCAGAAACTGCATTTCCCAAACTGTACCAAACGTTAAACAGAGGTATAACCCAATAAAAATAGTATTTCCCAGTAAACTCTGGGAAACTCTCCATACATACCCCCAGATGGAAATTCACAGTAAATATCATTAGCATCCTGAAGGTTCTGAAATAGTTTGAAGTAGAGAAAACTTTAACCAGGAATTTTCTTAACACATTTGAGCAAAAATGGATTTAAAAAATAATAGTAGTAATGAAGTTATTTTCTCTTTTAACATCCCCGCAGCTCAGGCTCTGGCAATATACCAGGCAAAGAATGTCAACCTCTACCTCATAGCAAACGGTCAGTAAAGGCTTGCTGCTGTCTTCACTGCAATAAATGAGGGTAAGTTTCTAAATCTCTGTGTCTTTAAAAACAGCAGTTCCTCGTCTGTGTGATTTACCTGTGGTTCTGCCTGAAATCGAGAGACGTGCAAGATGACTTTTCAAGAGTCATCACGCCAACAGATAAGGCGGACCCCTGTAGAGGGGGTACACACACACCAAACCCATATGTAGACCCTGATGCTTGAGTCCTCTAATTTTTCCCCCCGTTTGAGACAAATTTCTCAACCATGTGCCCACAGGAAACCTGTGGCTTGGTATGGGTTCAGGGATGCCTCAGACGCTCCCGAGAAAAGAGGAGGACCCCTGCAGTTCTGGAGGAACTCTGAAGCACAGGCACTTTGACCCAGGTCGAACACCAGGCTGAAGAGCTCAGGGGGGTAGGTCGAGCCTGGGTTCAAACATCCAGACCACGGCGGGCACCCACCCCTGCCGCGGCCCAACCTTGCCTGCCCCCGTCACACACCCGGCTCTGTGCAGCGCGCTAGGCCAGCGCCGAACCCACAGCCCAATGCGAGAACCTCACGAACATGTGGAGGGCGGACAGCAGACAGCAGGCAGAATTACCGCCTTCGTACCTGTCCTGTCAGGGGCTCCGCGCCCTCTTCGGGCCCCACCGGCGACCGACGCCCAAGACCCGGCGAGCCCCGCCCCGCCGCCCCGCCCTCGTGGGCTTCCCGACGCGCCGCCCGACCCCCCAGACTCACTTCAGAACCCCTCGTCCCAGAAACCCAGGGGCGCTCTGAATTTACAGAAAACACTACTCTTTTCCGCAGTACCCGCCTGGCTTAGAAGTGGTAGCCAAGCTTGGCGGAAAAAACATCGATCAGGCACACAGCTGGACAACTAGGGCGTGATAAGCGCATGCGCAATGAGCCTGGGAAGCTGATAAGGACCTTCGTTGAGAGGTGCGTGGTGGCCAGCGCCCTCCGTCGGCAAAGGGAAGACTGTGTAGAAGATTTGGAGAACCTTTTACAAGCTTTTGAGTGGTAAACTGCCAGCTAAAACAGTAGCAATAAACCATATTTTGTTGGCTAGGCTGGAGAAAAACATAAATTTTGCTGCTACTCAGTGTCAGCCATCATATGTGGATGGAAACATTCTCATGCCTTTTTGATGGTAATGTAAAATAATTCAAAGTTTCATAATGGCATTTGGAGCTTTTATATTCTAAAAAATTAAACTTCTTGACTCAGTGTGCCCACTTCTAATAATGTAACCTAAATAAATAACCAAGTAAGTTTGCAAAAATGTTTGTATAAAGATGTTGGGAGAGCCAGGATTTCACGGACATGGGCTCGAATTCTAACTGCAATTTACTAGCTAGGTGAGATCTTGGGCCAATTACCTAACTTCTCCATGCCTCTGTTTCCTCAATTTGTAAAGGAGGATGTTAATGATCCTCTTTTGAGGATCTGATAATAGTATCAATTTCACCTGATTGTTAGGAGAATGGAGTGAATCTGAGTTTGAAATATAACTATTACAAAGATATGTTTGTCTCAGTAATCTCAAGTTCAAAACAACCCAAAATATACATAAAATTGATGGTGAGTGGGAGTGAGAGGTAATGATAGAAGGGATGAATTGTTCACCCCTCTACTACTCATCCTCCCCCCCCCATTTCACTTTCTACATTTTTAAAATTATTCTGAATGAATAATATTTCCATATGGTTCAAAAATCAAAATAAATGGGCCTGGTGGCCTATGCCTGTAATCCCAGTGACTTGGGAGGCTGAGGCAGGAGGATTCCAAATTCAAAACGAGCCTCAGCAATTTAGAGAGGCCTTAAGCAACTCAGAGAGACCTTGACTCAAAACATAAAAAGGGCTGGGAATGTGTGTCTGGATTCAATCCCTGGTACCAAAAAATCATCATCATCCTATCATCATCAAAATAAGATTCAATACACAATGGAACATTTTTCAGCATTAAAAGAGAATAAAATCATAGCATTTGCAGGTAAATGGATGAAGTTGGAGAATATAATGCTAAGTGGAGTTGTTAGCCAATCCCAAAAAAACAAATGCTGGATATTTTATCTTATTTATATTGGGGTTGGGAGGGGAAGCATGTGAAGATTAGAGGAACCCTAGATAGGGCAAAGGGAAGGGGGGGGGGCAAGGGGTGTAAAAAAGATGGTGGAATGAGATGGACATCATTTCCCTAAGTACATGTATGAAGACACAAATGGTGTGAATATACTTTGTATACAACCAGAGATATGAAAAAGTGTGCTCTATATGTGTAATATGAACTGTAATGCATTCTGCTGTCATATATAACAAATTAGAATTTAAAAAATTTAAAAATAATATTAAAAAATAGTAAGATTCAAAAGTATGTACTTAGAAAACAACCTTCAACCCTTCTTCAAACCTGCTCCATCATTCTTGGTAGGTGACTCTTATTGGTAGTGTCTTATTCATATCCTCAGTAGTTTATTTAAATATGAGCACAAATATATTGTCTCCTTTCTTCCTTTTTTTTTTTCTTGGTACTGGGGATTGATCCCAGGGGTACTTTACCACAGAGCTATATCCTCTATCCCCAAACCTTGTTGTTTTAATTTTGAGAAAGGGTTTCACTAAGTTGGTGAGGCTGGCTTCAAATTTGCAATCCTCCTGCCTCAGCCTCCCCAATTGCTAAGATTACAGACATGCTCCAACCCCACCAGGCTTCCTTCTTTTTTGTGTGTGCAAAAGGTAATACACTATGTTTACTTGTACTTTGTTTTCTTCACTTAACAATATATCCTGAAGCTAAATCAGTACATTAGAGGTCTTCCTCATTCATTTTCCCAGCTCTATTGTATGGACACACTTAATTTATTAACCAGCTTCCTCTAGTTGGATACTTTGTTTCTAGTCTTTTGCTGTTACAAACAAAGTTGTAATGAAACTCTGTGTCCATACACATTGCATGTGTAATCAAGCTTACCTGTAAGATACATCTTGGTCAAATAATAAATGCATTTATAATTTTAGAAGAAATGACCTCCATCTCCTTCAATGAAAGAGAAGTGATATAAACTCAGCGCCCAGAGGTACATGCCTGTAATCCCAGTGACTTTGGAGATGGAGACCCAGGATTGCAAAATAGAAGTTAGAAACCAACCTCAGCAATTTATTGAGACCCTGTCTCAAAAAAAAAAAAAAGACTGGGACAGGGAATGTAGATCAGTGGTGAAGCTCCCCTGGGGGTGTGGGGTGGGGGAGGCAAGGGAAGGGAAGGGAGAGAAAGAAATAGTATAAAATATAAATTGAAAAAATTTTAAAGGCACTACAACCAGGTGCAGTGATGCATGCTTGTAAAATGCAGCAATCTGGAGTCTGAGGCAGAAGGATTGCAAGTTAAGACCAGGCTCAGTAAATTGACCAGACCCTGTCACAAAAAATGTAAAAGGGCTAGAGATAGCTCAGTGGTTAAGTGCTCCTGGGTTCAATCTCCAATACCAAAATAAATAAATAAGTTTTAAAAGGGGAGACCACTACATATACATATTTGTTATTTTGGTAAAATATACATACGCTTTGCTAATTTAACTATTTTATAAAGTATACAGTGCAGTAGCATTAACATTTTTGTACAATTATTACTTCCATTCATCTGCAGAACATTTTCATCTTTCCACACTAAAACTGTACCAAATAAGGCCAGACACAGTGGTGTACCCCTGTAATCCCAGAGGCTCAGGAGGAAGAGGCAAGTTCAAAGCCAGTCTTGGCAATTTAGCAAGACCCTAAGCAACTTAGCGAGACTCTGTCTCAAAATTAAAATAAATAAATAAAAAATGTACCAAACAAACACTAACTCCCCATTCTTCCCTTTCCCAACCTCCAATAATTATCATTCTTTGTCTTGATGAATTTGATTATTCTAAGCACCTCATATAAGTAGTAGAATCATACAATATTTTTTCTTTGATGCCTGGTATATTTCACTTAGCAAATGTCTTCAAAGCTAATCCCAATTGTAACATGTGTCAGAATCTCATTCCTTTTTAAGGATGGATTAATATTCCAACATATAAATATACCAATTTTTTTATCCATTTTTCCCTCGAGAGGTATTTGGGTTGTTTCCACCTTTTGGCTATTATAAATATGCACATTTTAAAAACAAACATACATATCCCACTCACCCCATTCCCCAGATTCCTTCTCAAAGCAACTATTAATGCTTGGTTGTTGTTGTGTGTCTATGTGTGTGTTTGTGTGTGTTGTCCCAGAGTAAGACTTTGGAAACTTATGCATTTTAAATGCAAATAACAGCTCCCTGTGAACACTGTACTGAACCTTGCTTTTATCCCTACTGAACAATCTGGATAATATGTCTTGGAGGTTTAAAGGTCATCCTGTTATTACATTGAGATTATCATGCCTTGTTCTATATGGGGATATATATCTTTATATCTTGGCATGTATGTGTATGTGTGTGTGTGTGTGTGTGTATATGGATATATACACACATATGTATATGTTTATGACTGGAACAACCTTTAACAGATGTGCTGAGTTTGGGATGTGAAGCTACCAGGCCTTGGATGGAGGTGGAACGCAGAAAAAATTCAAATGCTGTTCAGCAGCATGAAAGGGAAGACCCACTGAATCTAAAGGACAGGTCATGGGCTGGGGTTGTGGCTCAGCAGTAGAACACTCGTCTAACACATGCGAGGCCCTGGGTTTGATCCTCAGCACCACATAAAAATAAACAAAGTATTGTGTTCAACTACTTCTAAAAAAACAAATAATTGTAAAAAATAAAATAAAGGACAGGTCATGCTTATAAGAGAACTATTGGGGGGGGGGTGCTGGAGTTGTGGGTCAGTGGTAGAGTGCTTACCTGGCATGTGTGAAGCTCTGGGTTCACTCCTCAGCACCACATGTAAATAAATAAATTAAATAAATAAAAGATCCATTGACAACTAAAAAATATTTAAAAAAATAAAAAAGAACTATGGGGGTGATTGTTTGTTTGTTAATATATTGCATTAGGTTAAGTGGCCTGCAAGGGAAATTATACTGTCTTTGTCCTTTTTATTGTTTCTTAATAAATGCTGTTTTAAGGGACCCAGCCAGTCTTTGGTCCCCTCTGATGAGGAGCCTGAATGACACCCCAAGGACTCCCAAACTGCTGTGTGGCTACAGCCCATTCCCCCAACCTATAATGCAGAACACCGAAGAACAGCTGTTCTCTTGGGGGTGAAATTCTAGGCATTAGATGACATGGGAAAGCATCAAGGGGGAGAAACCCCTCTCAGGAAGGAATACTATTTTCCAGAATGAGGCGGATTTTTAGGCTTCAAAGCTTGGAGAAGTGATGGATGAAGGAAGAGGGCAAATCAATGGTAACAAAGCCAAATGTGGAAGATGATAGATATAGGGGCGAGAAGTATCTAGATTAGGGCTGGAGTCATAGCACAGTGGTAGAGCACTTGCCTGGCATGTGTAAGACACTGGGTTTGATTCTCAGCACCACATAAAAATAAATAAAAATAAAGGTCCATTGACAACTAAAAATAATATTTAAAAAAAAGAAGTATCTAGATATACCAACACCATCTAGTAGACATATGAAATTTTGAAATTGTCTTTAATTGATATACAAACTAATAAATTTAAAGAAATTTTGGGAGAAAATTATTAAAATTAAATTTCACATGTCAGCCACATGTATAATTTCTAAAGACACAATTCTAAAAAGTAAAAAGAAACAAGTGAAGTTAATTATATATATAATATATATATATTAATTATATATTAATATATATATTATTAATTATATATATATATTATATATATATATATGAGGGGTACCAAGGATTGAATCCTGGGGCACTGTACCACTGAGCTATATCTCCAGCCCTTTTTATTTTTAATTTTGAGGCAGGATCTTGCTTAGTTACTTAAGGCCTTGCTAAATAGCTGAGGCTGACTATGAACTTAAAATCCTCCTGGCTCAGCCTCCCAAATCACAAGGATTACAGATTTTTGCCACCAACCCTGACAACAATATATTTTTACCCAATATTTTTACTAATATTTCCAAAATATTACCATTTCAATGTGCAATAATCATCAATATAAAAATACTATTGAAGTTGGGCATAGTGGCACACACCTGTAATCCCAATGACTTGGGAAGCTGAGGTAGAAGGATCCCAAGTTGGAGGCCAGCTTGGGTAATCTAGCAAGACCCTGTCTCAAAAAATAAAGAGGCTGGGGATATAGCTCAGTGGAAGAATCTCTCTGTGTTCAATCCCCCATAACACACACACACACACACACACACACACACACACACATGGTAAATGTTGGGATAGCTTTTTTTTTTTTTTACTAAGTCTTTGAAATTCAGTGTGTATTTGCATTTATGGCACACATTTATTAAGATGTTATGTTCACAACAGAATTTTTTTCAGTACTAAGTATCAAACACAGGCTCCCAAGCATACTAGGCAAGACCTCTCCCACTGAGTCACTCCCTAGCCCTGAAAATACTTCATATAGTTTAGATTTCGATTTCATAAAATTTAAAATAAAAAAATACATTCCAGCAGGGCTCAGTGGTACTTGCTTGTAATCCTAGAGACTCAAGAGACGGAGGCAGGAGGATCACAAGTTACAATCCAGCCTGGGCAACTTGGTGAGACCCTGTCTCACATAACAGAAAGGGCTAGAGATGTAGCTCAGTGATAGAGTGCCCCTCTCAATTCAGCCCTCAGTACTGCAAAAACAAACAAAGAAAAAACTGTTAAATATGCAGATTTGAAAATCTGGAGTAAACACTAAAGAACAGAGACAGAATGTATTCTTTCAGAGAGAGAGAATTTCAAAACAGGAAAGCAATTCTACTACACTCTAAGATGTTACCCACCTGCTGGGCACAGTGGTGCACACCTGGAATCCCAACAGTGTGGGAAACTGAGGCAGGAAGATCACAAGTTCAAAGTTCAGTGCCCCTGGGTTTAATCCCTGGTACCCACCAACCCCACACCCTCCAAAAAAGAGAAAGAAAAATAAAAGGACTGGGGATGTGGCTTAATGGTTAAGTGCCCTTAGGTTCAATACCTGGTTTAAAAAAAAAAAAATCTGTTGCAATGACTAACTCTTTGTCTGTCTAGAACTAACAGATGAGGAAGAAGGATGGGCTCTCATATCCCCTTGCTGGTTGTATTTGGAGCTGACTAATTCTGCCAGCAGCTTCCTAAACCTGATTTGTACCAACTGGGTGCTCCTGCTAAGTGACACAAGTGTGCTGGGTCATCCTCAGCAAGTGACTGGATTCCAAGAAGTGTGTGTGTGTGTGTGTGTGTGTGTGTGTGTTATGGGGGATTCTCATGGAAGGCAACCATGAAAGCCAGTAAATAACCAGAATGCTGGGGTATAAAGAAGAGTAGGCATCACAGAAGGTTAGCATCCATCCTTCATTACCTCAGAGTGGATCTGAAAGCAGAAAGGACTCAACATAGTTAGTGGTAAAGGTGAAATCTAGGCTCTTGGGGGTAAGTGTCTTGGAATATCCTGGGAAGAGATGAGAATATAGGTGATGGAAGGATAACAGTTTAGGGAGATATATTGGGGCTCAGTAGAAATGTCACAATGTATAGGCAAAGATGGAGGCAATGAAGTTTTCCCTCTGACTCAAGGTAGGATTTTTAGGGGAGTGTATAGATGCAATACATGGATTCAGCAGAATGTACGTTAGGCTTTGGAGATGCCTGTTTTGGAGTTCCTGAGTTAGGAAAGAGATCCTGGAATGTTTGTGGAGAAGAAAGTCATGGTACATATCACTGATTCCAGCACTGTTTACCAGCAGGTATATCTCAGGACACTTCTGCAAATGCCACTGGGCAAAAATCCAAATGGAAGCCACAAATCTGATGTCCTTCTTGCCAAGCAGGAAACTGCATGGATCCATGCTTCTAGTGACACCAGAGTTTGAGATGAAACTTAATTCTTCATTTCTGCTTGTGGGGGGAGTCTGTGTAAGTTGTAGGCCTCTGAAGCCAAGAAAACCTATTTTGGTATTAGAAACTAATTATGGCAGGTGCCAGCTCCAAATGTCACAGCTGGCAAAGCTGATTCTTCTCCACTACTATCCAGTGGCATGTTGCAGCTCTTAATAAGTGGTCTATGCCCTCCAGTGTTGCAGCAGACCCCAGCAGCTCTCCACCAATTTCTTCTTTCTGGTTTCTTTTCTCCTGAATTTGAAGAATAAAATCCACACATAGAAAGAATAAGTGTAAAAGAGTAGGATTTAGGGGTTGGGGTTGTGGCTCAGTGGTAGCGTGCTTGCTTAGTATGTATGAGGCACTGGGTTCGATTCTCAGCACCACATAAAAATAAATTAATTAAATAAAGGTATTGTGTTCATCTATAACTAAATTTTTTTAAAGGTAGGATTTATTCAAGTGAGTAGCAAATACAGATCTCTCTGGGGTGAGAGGGAGCCCACTAGGGGTGACCACTTGAATGTGCTAGTCTAGGGGTTTATATAGCTCTTGAATCAACATTATTGGTCCAAATTTATGCTAATCAGGCCTTGGAAAGTATCAATGCTATTGGTTAGCCCTGCAATCCCATTAGGTCTGCCCTACCTCTTACTGCTCATCATCTAGGGCTGGGCCACCAATGGGACAATTCAGTGAGCCCTGGTTTGCCTCAGCATGGCTCACTATGCCACAGGCCTGTGTTGGCATAAGTGGGCTCCTTGTAATTGAGGCCTGTACTTGCCTTCCACACTCCAGACCACCCAGGGCCACCACTCCACCATTTCAGATGAGGGCTTGGCTTCTCCAGCTCTGGAGGTAGGAACTACATGGGGCCCATGAAAAGCCAGCTACCAGGCCACAATTTTCCCAATGCCCATGGCAGGGCACCTTCAGAGTAGAACAGTCTAGGTGGAGACTAGAAGGCATTGGAATAAGGGGAAAGGCAAGGGTGTTAAGAGTGGAGAATGATCCCCTCTTGTCCTGGGATTATTGAGGACTGAGGTCTAGTGATGTGACAGGGTAGGAGAAGTGCTCAGCCCAGTCATTATTGCTGTCTGCCCAGTTACTTCTGTGTAACAGGCCTGAGACTCCTGCCAGAGCTGCCCATATTGAGCAAGCAGGTGAACCCAGAAACATAAGAAAAATCCAGGGCTTCAGCCCAGGGTGCTGAGTGAAACTCACAGCAACATAGCAGAGACTGCCACCTGGCCACTGGGAAGTGCTTGGAGGGGTGGGGGCTAGAACACATTGCATCTTGGGGACTAGCGATGAGGCAGGTGTGGAGTTTATGGCAAACCTCTACCCAAAAGTAAAACTTGGATTTGCAGTCTAAGATGAACAGACTAAGCTCCAAGAACCAGGGGTGCAAATCAAGTTCCTCTTATCTTTAGTTATTTTGTGCTTAGGCAGGACCATCCCCTTCCATGCCTAATAAAACAGAAATTTCTCCTCTATGAACTAGAGCTCTTTTTGCAGACTTTATATACACTCCTTTGCAGAATGCCTCTGCTGGGGAACAGCCTAGTCCCTAAAGCAGGGTCTCCTAAGGATGGTGATGGGGCTATCCCCTGGAGCCCTTGTTCCATCTTCTTTTTAGGCCTGCAGGACAACTGCTCCCCCTGGCATTCAGTGAGAGAATAGACACCCTTGGAAGTAACATCAAGCCAATTCCTAGAGCAATTCAGGTGTTTTATTTCTGACAGGCAGGCACAGGGTAGGTGAAATTCCCACTGCCAGAGGTTCAAGAACCGGAATGGGGCATGGGCTTTGAGGGGAGCAGCCACACTTTGGGAGTTGCACTCTTTGTTAGCTGTTCTGCTGTCACATGAGGTTTGGACACACCTTTCTGGATGGGGCGCTGCTCAGCTGCAGGAGAGGTGCCTCCTTCTTCTTTGTCTTCCTCTTGGGACACAGCAGACTTAAGCAGCACCTGGGTGCTACGGTTCCACATGCTCACACCAGGAGCCAACTTCACTGCTTCTGGCACCAACACTGGCCTCCAGAATACCTGGGATGTGGCCTCAAGGACCTGAGGCATTGTTTGGGGCCATCCAGAAGCCTGGCCATCCTTTTCAGCAAGCCCCAGGCCCTGTGGGGGCACACGGGTGCGGCCAGCCCACAGGTTGCTCAGCAGCTCAGCCTCCCTCTCCCAGCCACTGGGCCACTTGGCTCTGGGCCACACACTGGGGCTGGACCTGTGAGCAGCTTCAACAACTGCCGGGTGTGTGCCAAGGAAATGAATCCCAGGGCTTGGGAAAGGTAGCTTCGACCCAAAGGATAGTGATGGTGGGCCTAAGTTTAAAGTGGGTAATTGGAGTCTGGGTTCTGGGCCCACAGCACGGAAAGGAATGTCAGGTTGTAGAGGGAAGAACGCAGCCAGGGATGCAGGGACTTGGGGGCCAGGGGTTTGGAGTCCAACCTGGGCCTGGATCTTTCCCTGCTGGCGCTTACGGTAGGCTTCCAAGGGGTGAACCTTGGAGTCTGGAACCAAGACCTCAGCCAGGGGGCGCACCCAGTGGCGGGGAAGCCGCGCAGGGTCCAAGCGCACCTCGGCTGCCTTGCGATCCACCCTGGACTGAAGCGTGCCACGCCGCGAATCCAAGTACACAGGCTGCTGCGACTGGGAGGACACTGTTGCACTGAGAGCACTGGTGTCGCCCTTGGAGGAGAAGGGTACTAACATGCCTGAGGCATTGGGGGACATCGCCTGGGTCTTGCGCTTCAACTGGTCCCCAGCCGCGTCTGGTTGGGGAACGCAAGAGTAGAAGTCCTCCAGCGACAGGGGGCCCCTGAGGTGCTGTGGGCTCTGGCTCTCCACAGAGGCCCGGGGAAGGGCTACCCGGGACAGCTCCGGGAAAGGACGAGGACTCTCTGCAAGTTCCACTTCCAATGACGGTTGTACACTCCCATTCAAGAACCCAACCAAGGAAGAGTGGCTTCTTGCCCCACGATCAGGTTCCTCCAGAGTATCCCCGAGCTCTGCCTCCAGAAACAGCTCCGGATTGGGCTGGGGACCCAAGGTGACACTCAGAGAACGCTCCCGAGATTCCGTCAGTTCTTGGGAGGCTCTTCCCGGCCCCGATCTTCTTAAAGGGATCCGGTCCAGGTTCTCCAGGTCCTGCGGAAATGCACCGGGATGGTGAGAGGTCAGAAAGGGAGAGAAGAATTAAGGACAGGAGTCCTGAAAGGCCCCTAAGTAGATCAAAGACGCGGCGGGACGCTGGGCTAGGAAGGAGGCTTACTTCAACTTGGCAATTCTCCTCCAGAACCTCCGAGGCAGGTGTGTGCAGCACGGGTACAGAGCCCTGAGCCCAAGCATCGGTCGTGCACGCCAGGGGCTCTTCATCCTCGCCCCATGTGGGGTCCTCAGCCACTGCTGATTCTCCCTCGTCCCGAGCCAGGAAGCGCCACTCAATGATCTGCAGCATGGCCTCCCGGGCCTGACTGATGGTAAATGGAATGCACTGCGAAAGTGAGGAAGCATCTCAGTCCCGCAAGGAATGGTGGGTCGGGAGAAATTGAGTCTGGAAGACCAGGATCCAGACCCACCTGCTGGGTCAGGTAGACTTGGAAGGCGGAATCCATGACTCGAGCCAGCAGATCCGCCAGGATGTCCCCCACTATGTCCTCGCCCTCCTCGATAGCGGTTAACGCGATCCACTCGGCCTCATTAAGCCGCCCAGGCACGATCTCCACCTGTGGCACCGTCACGGTGGGCGGTCGCGCCTTCTCAGCCTTGGATCGGGTCATCCCTCGGTCTCGGGCCTGCCTCTCCTGTCTTTCCTGCCTCTGTGGGAATGAAACGGCACTCAGGGCAGGTAACAGAGAAGTGCGACTGAAGGAAGCTTACAGAAATTATTTAGTAGAAAGGGAAGGGGACAATTTACTAAGAGACTATCATGTTGCTAATTGCTTTAATTTTCATAAGTCCACTAAGGTTGTTTTACAGACAAAGAAACTGAAGCTTGGCAGAAGTTAGCCATAATTTGCTTGGAAGCACAGAGTTTTAGATGAAGCTTACATAAAGCTCTAACCCCATGGTCCTTGCTAATTGCAGGAGTGCAAAGTGTCCAAAGTCATTGAGAGTTCAAAGAACTTGAGAAGAATGAGAAAATAAGCAAGCTGGAATTACTGGTGCTATTTTGTATGTCTTCTATATTGTTAACTACCATTTTTATCCCTATTTTATGTGATTTGCCTAGGATCACACAACTAGAAAATAGTCAGAATTTCTGTCAGTTTGTCTAATTTCAGAACCTGATTTTATCCTATCTCTCAAATTAAAAATATTTGAAACACATACAAAAAGGATATATATCTCCAAATACATTAAAAACTCATATAAAAGGGAAAAGCCATTTAAGATACCAAAGATAAAACAACATTTCATAAAAGAGAAACTGTAGATGATTTAATACATATTTGAAAAGATGTCTAATCCTCAATTTTATCAAAAGATATACATTTAATTTATATTCTCACTTTTAGGTCATCTTAAGAGAAATTATTTTTGGCCTGGCACAGTGGAGCATGCCTGTAATCGCAGTGGTTTGGGAGGCAGAGGCAGGAGGATCGCAAGTTCAAAGCCAACCTCAGCAATTTATCGAGGTATTAAGCAACTCAGTGACACCTGGTCTCTAATAAAATACAAAATAGGGCTAGGGATGTGGCTCAGTGGTCTAGTGCCCCTGAGTTCAATCCCTGGTACCAAAAAAGAAAATAAATTATTTTTAAAGCCAGGTGTGGTGATGCATCTCTGGAATCCCAGAAACTCAGGAGGCTGATAACTCAGAAGGCTGAGGTAGGAGAATCTCCAGTTTGAGGCCAGCTTCAGCAACTTAGAGAGATCCTATCTCAAAAAAAAAAAAAAAAAAAAAGTGGTAGGGAGGTAGCTCAGGGTCCAATCCCCAGTACTTCAAAAAATTATTTTAACATAAGAATACTCATGCCAGCAAAGTACATAATGTGACACCATGCTGATGGGAATATTAAGTGGAAAAATATTTTTGGAAAGCCATTCAGTGGTATGTATCAAGAACATTAAAAATATTTTTAAGACAAGTGTAATGACAGATGCTTGTACTAGTGATTACTCTGAAGGCTAAGGCAGGAGGATCACTTGAGCCCAGTAGTTCAGGCCAGCCTGGACAACATAGCAAGACACCATCTCAAAAAAAGAAGGAGGAATCTGTCACCGTGGCATATATCTATAATCCCAGTGACTGGTGAGGCTGAGGCAGGAGGATAACAAATTTGAGGCCAGTCTCAGCAACTTAGTGAGGCTCTCAACAACTTAGTGAGATCTTGTCTTAAAATAAAAAATAAAAAGGGCTGGGAACTGTTCAGTGGATAAGCACCTCTAGATTCAATTCCTGGTACAAGAGAGAGAGAGAGAGAGAGAGAGAGAGAGAGAGAGAGAGAGAGAAAGAAATGTTTTTGACCTTTGACCCTGACATTTCAATTCTATAAAGGCATTCAAAAGGCATATTCTGAAATAAAGATTAAAATATATTTTCTGATATATATTCTCTGTGATGCTATACACTAGAATACTGAAACATATCCAAGAAAAAAAGGTGATAATTATGCTGTATCTGTATAATAGAATGTTAGGCAATGATTAAAAAATAATTTTTAGGAAGAATTCCCAATGGCATAAGAAAATGTTCATGATATAATGTTAAGTAAAAGAAACAAGATACAAAGTTGCTTGTCAATTACATCAGATATATAGACAAATATGTATTAAGGAAAAATAAAACATCAAAACAATTACAGAAGGTATGTTTATTTTCTGTTTTTCTCTATTTTATAAGTTCTCTACAATGAGTTTGTATCCTTTTGTAATTAATGTACTTAAAAAGAAGACTAGTCCTCAAAACTCACTTTAGAGACATGGTAACTTACTCTCTTGGGAGACTTCTCACTTCCCTACAACAGTCTCTCTGAACCTGGTTCCTTCCAAAATTGACTTCCAAAAGCAATCTTCCCAAACTTTTATCTACTGCCCTCCAACCTTCTAAACTCATACTTGATATTCCCTAAAATTCATTCTCCCTCAAATCTGATGTTTCCTAAACCTCACACTGAACCCCAAATCCCTTACACCTCTTTTCGCCTTTCCACCAGCAAGAACAGGAAGCACTAGGATAACATTTGGTTCCTTAGACCTCTCCCAGTCTTTCATCTGACCCCTGCGATGGTGCCTAGACCTGGCCTGATTTGAGGGGTGGTGGGTGAGAGATAGGATACTTGTGCACAAAGGCTCTTCAGATATGTTTTCTTTATTTTAAAATTTCTTGGCTTTGGAACAATTTGACTTTCAAGTGCAACCTCATAGTTGTTTAATCCATTTGTTCCTTCTGAAATTCTCGAAATAGAGGATTTATCCATCAACACCTCCCCCCAGCTGCCTGACCAATTCTGGTTTATCCATTGAAATGGCAAGCTCGGTGAAAGAAATTTATAATATGTGTTAGCTGTTTCCAAATTCACTTTTTATTCTCGAGCCCCAAATCATTCATTGACTCTTTCCTGAGAGGTCCCAGAGTGACAGAGCGCGAGGGGGCAAAGTGCAAATGAGTGCAGATGTAGGCTTTCTGCCCAAGTACGGATATGGCTTCCTCGGTCATCTTGAACGCCCAGGCCGCGCAGAATGGCCCACTCTTTCTGCCACCGACCTTACTGGCCGACGCACCCCCCCTTGAGCTGAAGCTCACCGAGCCATCATGCGCCATCGCCCCGGCAATCGCTCCAACCCGGGTGTCCCGGCTGATTCCTTGACGCGTCTCTGCTGCGGACGCTGCCGCCGCCTAACGGTCGCCTCGGAGACCACGGAGCGCGTTGGATTGCTCGCCCCGCCCACAGTTTCCCCGGCAACCGCGCCGCGCTCAGCACGTTCCGACCGTTCGCTCCTCCCAATAGCCTGCGTGGGTGCGTCGTCTCTATGGTGGCGGCGGATTCGGAGAGACCGAAGGATCCAGCAGTCAGGCAAGGAGATGTGGGGCTGCGGGTGTGATCTAAGACCCTGACAGGATGCTATTATAGGGAACCAAGTCCAGAGAGGAAGGGCCTGGGGGCCTCATCCCGCCCTTTTGGCTTGGGCACCTGGGGCCACCGGCTCCTGTGTCATCACCATTCCTCCTCTGGGATTCCCCATCGTCCTGTGACTCAGCCCTGGGACTCCCCTCTTCTGGTGTAGGAGACCTTCCTCCCGCCGTGAGACCCTTACCTATCATGTTCTCGGGGCACTTCATCACATCACCCAGTCTCAGGGGTCTCCCTCAGTGCCTCATGATTGCTCCTCCCACCCCCAGGAATCTCTACTGTGATCTTTTCCCTTTGCGCCCTGGGATTGGGGTGTTTCTTCCCCCAGGATGTTCCGCCGGGAGCGCTCCGTCCCCCTTCGAGGCTCAGCCGCCGCCCTGTGTAACAACCTCAGTGTGCTGCAGCTGCCCGCCCGCAACCTCATGCATTTTGCTGTGGTCCACGGACCAAGCGCCCAGCTTCTCAGCGCTGCCCCTGAGGGTGTACCATTGGCCCAGCGCCAGCTTCACGCCAAAGAGGGCGCTGGAGTGAGCCCCCCACTTATCACTCAGGTGAGGCACAGAGTTGGGTGAGGTGTTGGTGAACTCAGACCTTCCCCACCCCCATCCTTTTCAAACCTCAAGAAATAGGCCTTCCCCTAATTCTCTGAATTTCCACTCTTCTGATGCCTCATATCCCCTACTCTGATTTTCTCCTTATTCTGATCCACCTACCTCCAGGTCCACTGGTGTGTCCTCCCCTTCCGAGTACTGCTGGTACTCACCTCACATCGAGGGATACAGGTAAGAAGACTCCCACCAGTCAACTCCCCTCCTTTAGACCTCCCTTAGACCTTTCTGCACTTTCCTGCAGTCTCTTCCAAACTTTTTACATTTGTAGCCTGCTCTTCCTCTATTTCTCATCTTCCATTTTCTCTAGTTCCCAAGTGCCTCCTTGTCATCACCATCAGCCTCTTTACTACCTGTATAACCTTAGGCCTACCCTAGTTATCCTCCTCTGAAAAAATAGTGTCTGTCTCCCAGAATGGTTTTAAGGATTAAATGGACTAAAGTTAACATGGATATGTGAAGAACTCTGTACAAGACTCAGCAAAGATCAGCTGGACCATGGCCTATCCTTGCCCCTCTGTTCCAGATGTATGAGTCTGATGGTTCCATCATGGTCTACTGGCATGCACTGGATTCTGGAGATACCTCTTCAGGTACCTGCAGGACAAAGTGGGGTGGGTAGGCATAAGAAGTGTTTACCAAGGCTGGGGAAGGTGCTATTTCTGATAGTTTTCCCTTTTCACACTCAGTACAGGCTGTGTTTGCTCGAGGAATTGCTGCCAGTGGCCACTTCATCTGTGTGGGTGAGGGGGCCAGGGGCAGGGAGGGCATTAGGGAAATGGAGATAGGGGTGTGGGTTTCAGCCAGGAGAATGTTGAGGGACTGAGGAAATTATGAAGGGTTAGATAGGAGGGTGAAAGAGAAAGGGATAGAAAGGATGGGGTAGGATGAAGGCAGTGAGTAGAGGAGCCAGGTTGTTGGAATAATGGGTTTGTTACTAAGGTAGAGTATGGAAAGAGTGCTGAGTGTGGTGGTTAAAAACCTAGGAGGGTCAAGAAGTCATCCAGGGGGTGCTGGTTCTGGCTGCAGGAACATGGACAGGACAGGTGCTGGTGTTTGACATCCCAGCAAAGGGTCCCAACATTGTACTGAGTGAGGAGCTTGCTGGACACCAGACAGCAGTCACAGATATTGCAACGGAGCCTGCCCAGGGACAGGTGAGTAGACTTCTCTTATCCATCTTGGTGAGCCTAGAAACCTTACCCACCCTGGGAGGCAACAGACCTGGGTTTGAGTCTTGGTTCTACCACGAAGCAGCTGGATGGCTTTGGGCAAATCTGTTCCTTCCTAGACTTCAACAACTTCAGCTTCAGTGATAAAACTAGAGGTACTTTAGGTGGCATTTTATAGTTCATTAAGCCCTTTGATACTGGTATGGATTGAGGAATTGGAAAAAAAAATGGTTTCTATGATGCTGTCCAGCTCTAATACACATAGCTTCCTTCTGTGGACTTGAGCAAGTACTACTTATTTAGGCCCAACTCCAGAGGCCACCTCTCCTGGAGCATATTTCAGCTCCCACTAATCTCTTTTAGCTAAACCCTGAATTGGTTTAGCTAAACTGCCCTCAAAGACAACTCGTCTCCCCAACTGAATTGCAAACCTCTTGAGAATAGGGTGTGTATTTTCTGATTTGTATTGTCCATGGCACCTTGTCCAAGGCTGTCTGGTGTTGGAGATCAAGAGGCCCAGAGTCACTCATGATTCATTGTAAGACCTCCAAAAAGTCATGACACTATCACTTCAATTTCATCATCCATTCAACAAGGACAGTTACTTATTCCCTTCTAATACAGATGCCAGGGTGGAGATGCGGTACTTTTAATCCTATAAGAAAATGCAAGGGAAGCAGTCTGCTTGAGGAAATCCTGAAGAGGATTTCTAGTGGGTCCACTCGATGAGGGGTCCACATCTTGTCCTTTCCTTGGAGAGGCAAAGATGCAAATATGGCCTCCCTTCCCCTCCTGCCCTATACTCAGGACCATAGCAGGGAAGAAAGGGAAGAGCTGATCCCACCTTTCCCCTCAGGATAGCGTGGCTGACATGGTGACAGCTGATGATTCAGGCTTGTTGTGTGTCTGGCGATCAGGGTCTGAATTCACATTACTGACCCGCATTCCAGGATTCGGGTAGGTGAGGCAAAAGGGAGCTGTGGCCTTCCTGATGTATTTCAGGGTGGGGAGTGGGAGTGAGTCTGGAGAAACCAAAGTTAAATGTCACCTTTGCAGGATACCATGCCCCTCTGTGCAGCTATGGCAGGGGATCATAGCAGCAGGCTATGGGAACGGCCAAATACGTCTATATGAGGCCACTACAGGAACTCTACATGTCCAGATCAATGCCCACGCACGGGCCATCTGTGCCCTGGACCTCGCTCCTGAGGTGGGCAAGGTCAGTCTACTCCTACCTGCCTAAACTCTTTCTCCTCTGAGCACCTAGGCTTGGTCTGTACTCAGGGACCCCCTTCCCCAGGGTACCTGAGCAGGTGTTCCAGTCTGCAACCATCCTGTCAGGAAATTCTGATTTTCACTCTTTCTCCATTTTTTTTTTTTTTAAATATAGCTACTCTCTGCAGCTGAGGACACCTTTGTACACATCTGGAAGCTAAGAAGAAGCCCAGAGAGTGGCTACATTGAGGTGTGTGTCATGGGAAGGGTGGAATGGCGGCCCAAGCACAGGGCAATAGGCCCTGATCAACCCTCTTCCCCCACCAGGTGGAACACTGTCATGGTGAGTGTGTATCTGACATCCAAGTGTGTGGTGCTCGATTCTGTGATCCCTCAGGCAGCTCCTTTGCTGTGACTGGCTATGACCTCGCTGAGATCCTGAGATACAGCAGTGTGTGAGAGAAGAGCAGACTTCCCTTCTCCCTATGGTATTTATAAAGTGTCCCCTCCATCTAGCCCTTGTCTGATCACTCAGTATCACAGTCATACTTTGCAACGGTGACGTAAGCTCCAGGGAGGAGGGAGTGTATAGGTCCAGACCATGCAGAGTCAACCTGTCCTCAAGTACCAAGTGAAACCAGGTGCAGTTTTAGGCCTGTAATTCCAGTAACTCAGGAGGCCGAGGCAAGAAGTTTGCAAGTTCAAGACCAGCCTCAGCTACTAAGCAAGACCCTGTCTCAAAATAAAAAGTAAAAAAGGGCTGGGATTGTGGCTCACTGGTAGAGTGTACCTGGGTTCAGGCCCCAGTACCAAAAACAAGCAAACAAAAAAGAAAAAGAAAAAGAAAAAAACCATGTGAAGGCTGCTGTTAAATAACTTTAATGGTTGATGTAGAAGTGACAGTGGAAGTGCATTCCTCCCAGGGCTCTTCAGTGCCATCCTCAAAGCTGATTAGTGCAGGGAGGTAGGGCAAGGTGTTCCAGTTTTCTCCCAGGAAGGGTTTAGGGGGTCCCAGCCAGGGCTGGGAGCGAACCCCTCAGTACCATGACAACCACACCTAAGAGGGGCTTCTGTTCCCCCTCCCCCAACTACCCCCAATCCAGTAGAGGAAGAGGAGGCCATGCTGGCCAACTTGCTACACACAGTGCTGTCCTCAGAGCCCAACTGCATGTGGGTCTTTCTTTATTCTGGCCAGGTCCTGTTGCCAGCACCTTTCTCTCACACTGGTGACTGGAGCCAAGTACGGAGTGGGCCTTTGCTGCAGAGGCCTCTAGATCGTGGGGATCGCTGTGGCGGGAGCGGGGCAACCAAGCGAGAAGCCCCAGGGGAATGGTCTGGGGGAACAGCATCCAGGGAAAAGGTTCGGGGTCGCCCCCAGGGAAGGGGGTGTGTCCAAGCTGGGGATACTGATGCAGGCGGGCAGGGGCTATGCAGGGCAGGCTGGTCTGTAAACACTGCTAGCCAGGGTGGGGGTGTCTCCAGCCTTGTGCCCTCCCGCTGGGCCAGGATGTCTGTCACTGCTGCGATGTCATCTATTGGCTCAATAGCTGTGGCACCAGGAAGGGGTTGAGGGGGAGGGGACTTGTCAGAGCGTAGGCCCCAGATCTACCCAACCCTGACCATCACCTGTCACTGTAATAGGAAGAAAGCAAAGCCTGGATCTCAGCCGAGATTGCATTGTCCTGTAGAAGCAGCCCCTCACCTGGGCCCCCTGGGGCCACAGGCTCCGATAAGACTGTAGAATACAGGATGCAGGGTGGTGGGAAGACAGGGTAGCAGAAGTGCGTGGAGGAACCAAGAAAGAGGAGAAAAATAAAAACAGTGCCAGGCAGGTGAGGGGTCAGAGAAGGAGACAGGAATCCGCATGCAGAAAGGGAAACAGAAAAGAAGAAATTAGGAAAGAAATCCATGAAGTGAATCTGGTTCTTTGGGGTTTTGTTTTGAACTTTGGTGGAGGTGGTTCTAAGAAGAATTGGAGAGGAGAAAGAAGTACAGTGGGACTGGGTGGAATATGGATCCCCAGAGATCTGCCTTAGCCCAAAGTGTACTTTCTCTCTGTCTCCATGATCTGGGCTTCCTTGAGGCCCCCAGCCCCACTTCCCATCAGGTTCCCCAGGAGGACTTTCCTCTCACTCACCCATTTCATGGTATAAGGACCCCTGCTTGGCCAGTGCTTGGGGTGGTTTGCGGGGAGCAGGAGTTTCAATTTTCATGATTTCATCACAGCACTGCTTCCACTGGCCTGCAGGAAGAGCACTGAGTGGAAGAGAAGGCCAGATTGCCCTCTCTCCACGACATTCCCTTCCATCCACTCCATCTGGTTAAAAATAAGAAAT